AGATTAGTGGATTTTACTTTTGTAACTATGTGCAGTCTTGGGTATGTGTGCATGTTTTCACTCAAATGTTCTAGAAATGAATCTGGAGATAAGTTCAACTGACCGAGTAGAAACATTTAGACTTCCTGTGAGGACATATACTACTATAAAATCTAAAAGGAGTTGTAAAAGAAATCCATTTCTATCTGCTTTTTTTTCCTTAGAGATTTCTGCAAATTTGTTGTCTGACATTTGAGTTGGAAAGACAAGAAGGGAGGTAGTTTGCATAAAATTTATCTATTCTGCATAGTAATATAAAAGAAGAATTCTTTGTCCTAGCAATTGTAAACATAGCTAAGAACCCTTGGTTTCATTTGCAGTTTGCCTGAGTTGTATGTTCTGTTGACATTTTGACTCTTGGATTTGCGGAGTTACTTAGTATGAATGTACTAGATGATGCTACTAGAAAGCTTGTTGATTGTCTCTACCTGATAGAGTTTTTGGCTGACCTCACTTGTTATTAGATGACTGTTATTGTTTGAGCTGTCACATAAAAATGCAATCTTCCTCTGTGTTTTTGGTGAATGGCCCAAAGCTTCTCCTTTAGAAGAAGTAGCCAAGATTCTTCCTTGCTGACAAAGGCAGTGCAAGTAGATTTAAGATAAGGGTTGGAAGTGAAGGGTCTGAAATAACCTGGACCCTGTTATGCTAGCGCCAAGGTTATTCTTCACATTTCCCCTGTGGGCTGTTCCTGGCCATAGCTTTACAGTTAGTTTAACCAGACTTTGGATTTAATTATAACTGTTAGGATGAAGTCAGATGTCAGCTTACTTGGCTGCAAGCTGAGGCCTGTAGAATATGGAGTGCTTTGCTCCTAACTGCATCTGTTGTCTCCTCTCATTATCTGTTAATGGTACTCAACTTGACAGGGTTGTTTTGATAAATGAAGGGTGGTAGGAAACTAGGATGTGGACTTTGTATGGAATGGAGCTTAGGACAAAAGGGAGCAATTACCAGACAAGGCCAGGAAAAGATCTTTAGAAACTGCCTTGTGGAGTGATTACCAGTAATAATGTCTATTGATTTGGGGTGAGCCGGGGGTATAGCTAATATTTTTCATTTATCTCATGCAATTATTCTTTGTGCTTATGTGCAAAACACCTAAGAATTGTATTTCTCCTATCAACATCAATTTCTTCTCTGCAGCTCCTTCAATTTACAGACTTAACACTGAGGAGGTTGCACCCAATTCTTCACTTTGAGGAGTAGGCATAGGGCTTGGAATGATCTGCCACTGTAGTTGGGAGTCATCAGTCATTAGGTCAAAAATAGCTCCTGCACAGATTCCCTAGTCAAGGAAATAGAGGAGGTTTATTTAGAGTGGAAAAAAGTGAAAACGAAGAATGTTCAGTACTAAAGAAGGGTACACATCATCTCCCTTCCCCAGTCTGTCTAGTTTGTGTGTTGCTGGTTACATGTTGCTTAAATTGCAGGTAAGTTGGAAGAGTTGGGCCTGAATGAATTAATGGTGGCTTCTGTACCCATTAACTCTAATATATATATATATATATATATATATATATATATATA